AGAAAGGGGTGGGAGGAGGACGAAGAGGGTGAAGGGGTCCAAACACATGGCTACTGAAGGAAACTAGACTGTGGGTGGTGAGCATATGATGGACTACACAGATGTTATGCTCTAAAGCTATAAACATGAAATTTATATAATGTTATTTACCAATGTTACCCAATAAGGTTTAATTTAATTTTTTTTTTTTAAATTATGATTCCTGCCTGTCTGCCTGCCTGCTTGCCTACCCTGCCTGGAGATAATATAAATAGAAATGTCAAAATTTTAGACAAGGTTTGAGACGTTCAAGCTTCCACATCTCCGTGGAGCTTTACAGGCTTGGAATCAGCAAGAATTTCACAAAAGTAGAATATGAAGAACTTCAAAGAATTCTATGAAAGTGCAAAATGGATACCTTTAAAATGTCAAAGGGCAGACTGAAATTGATTGAGAAATCACATTCTTGCACTACTGTCCCCCTATTCACTCAAACAAATCATTTTGCAGTACTTACTCTTATTCCAAGTATTTATACTGTGGGAGGAATCTAGAATGTCTCATACTAAACTCAGTAAGTCATAATTTAAAGATAAACTATTCATGATGTGATGTGATTTATGGCAAATACGTAAGAGACCAAGCTATTTAATGACTGAAGAGGTATCAGCAGAACTGCATCCCCACGCCTTTATGTGCGTGTTAAGTATAAGGAATAAAACACACCTTTATTCATTTCAATTTCATTGTTTGCTTGTTTCCGCACCAAGATGGGGATGCTGTGCTTTCCTGAGAGTAAATTCCCATTTCTTAACTAACAATGCTACACCGAACACTTAAACAGTGCTTACTTTGGACCAGGCACAGTGCTAAGTGCTTTATACGTGAGTCCTCCTTAAGCCTAATGAGGTAAGTACCATCCTTATTCTCATTTTGCAAATAAGGAAAATGAAGCATAGAGTTTACACAGCTGATGGTGAAAAGCCCAGATTCAAACCCAGGCAGTGTGCTTCCATAATTCACGCTCTTTTACATTATACTCGACTACCTCCTACCTTACAGCAGAATTACCGCTAGTGGTAAGAGTTGCCCGCAGATAGTAGTATATGATAGCAAACGTTTGATTGACAGCATTTAAGTCGAGGCTAAAAAAAATGAAAGGTAGAGAGCTGATTGAGAGACAATGGAGAGTTTGTCCACTATTTAATTTTAGGAAATATTGTGGAAATGATTTGGCCAGTGGATACACTTTACCAATATGTAGATCATCTTGTTTTAAAAATGATAATTCCCTTTGGGCTCTTGTGTGCATGATTCACTGCACTCAGAATGGTATTGGCTCTGTGACACAGAAGCCTGATGGAGCACAAGCGATTTAAACAAATAAGGGTCTCAGTTCCACATGTAACAAGGAATAGAGGCCAGGCTGTTTCTCTCTTCCTCTGCAGTGTTGTTAGATGAACCCCATCTTGGAGTACCCATCCAAGTTCCAGGAAGAGAAGAGGGAAAATGGCAAAGGGAAAAAGCTGAGTCAGATCTATTTTAATTAGGAAAAACTAGCTTTGCAGGAAGTCCCATCCAAGAACAACTTCTAACTCATTAGACAGAACAATGTAGGGGAGCCTGGGATATTGAAATTTTTAGCTGGGCACATTGCCAGCCTGAACAAAATTAGGATTCTATTAAATAAGGAAGAAGAAAGAATAGGCTTCAGATTGTCAACTGACTGCCTATATGACCACGAAATCCAAAAAGTTGAATAGTAAAGTTTACTAGACACCAACTGCAAATTTTGGTGAAATTTAGTTGATGAGTTTCTTTATTGGGTATATTCTTCATTTAGGAAATACTCTCTGAGGAGTTTCAAGTTTTATGTTTCCATTTGAATGATTATTTTTAAAGACTTAATAAAAGCATAGTCTAGGTCATCCAGTAAGTGTACTATTTTGCCATCTGAATTTGTTTACAAATACGAAGACACCAAAAAATACTACTTTCACTGTCTATTCACTTTCACTTCTATTAATGGTAATAGAAGCAAGATGGACTTACTGCAAAATGAAGCATCGATGAGGCATACAGACAGACCAAAGATCACTGGATATAGACATGCAAAAGAACTGCAGAAATCTAACGGAGAAAAGTAAAGGGTGAACTGAGTCAGCCCTTGGCTTGCGGGGGTAGGCAAGCAAACTAAAACGAGCCTGCCATGGCATAGCCCCCACCACATTCATGATGTGTGCAGGAGTTTAGATAAAAAAGAACAACAACATCATTGGTCACATTAAATTAATGTTGTTCATTTGAATGTAATGGTTTTGCTGTTTTGTTTGTATTTAATTTGTAAAGATGTTTGGTTTTATAGTTGTATAATGGCTATAAACAGAAGGAGTTTAGTCCTATTTTATTTTTATACATATTTAAGTAACATTATAATCAAAACAATTTAAGTCTATACCGCTGTATCAAGAGGGTGTCTTTTAAAAAGAGTCTCTACACGACCCAACTCTGAGAAACACTTTTCTACAGCTTCCTCTCACAGGAAAAGACAACAAAGGTGATGCCATCATTTCTAAGCCAAATTCATATTCAGCTCCTGCTTGGTGAAGACATACTTTACAGGTGTGATAAGCACCAACTTTCTGGATTAGTGATATCATTGTTTAATGGGCATCTTACACTCTGCACAAACAATTATAAGAAACTAATGTTTCTGTGATCCTTTTTTAAATCTCTCTCTCTTGAGTTAGAAGTGTCTTAGAAATGCTCTAGCCCAATCACCCTTTGGAGGCACAAATGCACAGAACTGTACAATCCCCAACAGACAGCTGTCTGTGCTGTGACTGAGCGAGGCTGAGGGGGCTTCTAAATATAGCGATGGCTATGATATGATTTCAAGATGCTTGATGTGACTCATTCCTATGACTTGTCTCCTCTGAAATATTTTGCTGGTTTTTTTTTTTTTTTTTTTTTAATTTTTCAATGTTGAGTGGGGTTTTGATGGAAATTCGTGAGGAGGCTGAGTTTCAGGGTGGGGTCAGCATGGTTCAGAGTAGAAATGCAGGCGGGGATGCTGGATGGAGCCCAATAGCAGACAGGGCTCTGAGCAGGTAAGCTCTTTTGAAAACTTGCACACATCCTTAGGAGGGATTTAGATTCTTGAAGGGCCCTGGTGTTTAAACTGGGCTTTAAAGCAATGATTTCTCGCCTAAGGAGCTGGAAAGATCCCTTCCAACTACCATCTCTTATGTCAAGTGGGACTTTTCAGCTGTGTGAACAACTGCTACAAGCCCATCCACTATTTTTTAGATTTTCAAACTAGATGTAGAAGGTGCTGAAATTGACTAATGCTTTTATCAAAGATCAATAATATGTTAACTAATTTTATTTTTAGTTTTTCCAAAAGTTACTAACTGGAAATGCCAGTGTTTCTGCTGTCTTTTCTTCTAAGAAAACACTTTCAATGGGACATTCATGGCCTTCAAATGCTATTTGACTTCTACAAGCAGCAAAAAATCTGCCAGAAGTTTTTTAAGAAAATGTCACCGTCACTGATAATAACCTTAGTCTTTGAATCCTGACACAATAAGTACTGTGAACATTCTAGGTGATCACACCAAAAGAGTTTAAGGAAACCACAAGCCACCTATGTTAACTTACATTACTCACTCATTTTCATTACCGTCGACAGAGAATAGATTTTCACAAAACAATAAAAAAACAAAAATAAAAAAATAAAAAAACAAAAAAAGAGACAACAGAATATCTGACTAGTGTTTTACCTTAAGATCTGCTTTTCCTCTTGCTGTTCTTTAAAATGCTTCCTTCTGGTTTGCCTGAGGGTTACCGGTTGTATTTGCAAACCTCTATTAAAAATAGCTGGCGATAAGTAACTAAAATATAGACTACTTGCAAAACATAGCAGCCAAATAACACATGGGTGCTATAGGAGAAATGATTCTAGTACACCGTTGGTCCTGCAGGGCTACTGCAAACCAACAATATCAGCATCGGACATGGGAACTTGCTAGAAATGCAAATTCTCAGGCTCCACTCCAGACCCACTGCATCAAAAGCTGGGGGAAAGTTAATCAATCTGTGTTTAAAGAAGTCCTCTAGGTGACATTGGTGCATGCTAAAGCTTTGAAGTGAAAACTGCTATGTTTAATGTTGAAAGCCCAGCTCCCCTAAAGAGCAACGATAATAAGAAACCATTATAAGATGTGATGGTATTAGCATGTTTTTATGACAATAACATGTATATGTGTATGTTTCAAATAAAAAGAAATTAGCATTATTTTCTTCAAACTTAACTTTACATAGTGTTTGAATATATAAATAGATGGAAAAAGATCTATTTTTAAATTGTCTCAGTTAAAATTTGAAGTATATAGCCATTAAAATATATAGCCAAAAAATATATAGTCATATAGTCAGTTAAAATTAGAAATAAATATATAGCATTAACATATAGTCAACATTGCACTACTTTATGCTATACTGATATATAACAGACCTGCGGTTATCAATGAAGCAAGTCAAATACTGGCGATACTGTATATCTCATTCATTAATTCTTTCATAAGATAAAATCATGTCACCAAAAAAAAGTAGCCCTTCTAAACAAATCTTAATTAGAACAAACCATGTCATTCTCCATCTATTTAATTACCACTAGAGGCTTTCTCAGTAATAAAAGAAAATACAGCTTAAGTAGAAGAGCCATAATTTCAAGTTTGCTTTTTATTTGAGTTATAAACTAAAGGTTAGTTTTCCAGTCTAAAACCATTCAAGAACAAAATGAAATATGTTGGAATCATTAGAAAAACTATCAAAACTTCTGCTGCTCCTTCCATTAGGCTTTGCTTTGTGTAAACTAAATACTGTTGGACACAATGACTCTTCAAAGGCCACTAATAAAAGGCAGTTCTGGTTTCAGGATTGATGAACAATCGAATTCCTTGTCAAAAACTATATAAAGTTGATTTGGAAGCAATACCCTGATTGCTCCTGGAGCCTACCTGTCTACAGGTGAAGGTTTGGAATTCCGTGGCTTCTTCACTTGGGCATACAAAGCATCCATCATATGTCCTTCTCTTGGGCTCTGGGGTCTGGCATTGAGAGCAATGGAACCCTCATAGGAAGAAATTCCCCCGTACATCAACTCATCATCACAGCCAAACGTCCGATGAAAATCTTGGATTTCAGCATAGTCACGTTCTCGAGCTTGTTGCTCTCTAAATTCTCGAGTTTTGGCTTGAATCCTGTAAAAGTAGAACGAAGTTGAAATAAGAGAAGCTATGCCTTCTCAAAGGACTGCATAGAGAAACATTCATCAAAACATGTAAAACGCATTTTATTTCAGGCAGCTATGAGAAAATTGATGGTATAAATGATGTTATATTCATTTTTGATTGTGAAGGTAATGTCATGGATGCTCAGAAATAATCATTTCAGATAACTTTTGTTCATGTCAATAACATACAGTCATAATTTGCATCCTAATTTAAATAGTCACTTATTAACAACGTATAAATACTCAACAGGCATAGATAGTTTCAGGCATTCGCATGAACTTTTTAAAAGCAAGAAGTGACTTTTTTAAAAAGTTACACGCACACGTATACATTTATGCATGGGTGCATAATTTATATATCTTACTCATTATGAACATATTATGCTCATTTAACATACTATGAAGCTTAAATATGAATCCACACTATAATTATTTATTAACAGCAAAAGAAGATCTCAGCTTAATGACACCATCTTTGATTTTACGTGATGTGTAGAGAACTGGCAAATCCTGAGATGAAGAACAAGAAGGCATGTATCCAATGAAGAAATAAAATTTGCCTGTGTTAGTACAAAACTGACCTTAAGTAATCACTTTTACTTAAGATGTATTTAAATATTTTTATTAAACTACTTGGTATAAAGTCCTCTTCAACCAATAATATATTGATATAATTTATGTTCTAAGTCAATCTTATTTATCAAAAAATAGAATTTTGATGATTTTTGATGATGTTTTATAGGGAAAATATTTTTGATGATGTTTAATGTGGAAAACACTTCCAAATGTAAATGTTTCCTTAAAAAATGAAGTCTTTTTTATATAAAATACTATTTTAGACTTTTACGAGTTCAGTATTTTACTGCAAAGTTATTTGCTTCTTTCATATTTAAAGTAGACCACTGCTTGCAGAAATGACACATAAATATATCTTCAAAAAATACAGAAAAAATACAAAAATGAGATGAAGACAATACAAAAAAAGAAAAGAAACTACAGGCTGATATCCCTCATGAATATAGAAACTAAAATCCTTAACAAAATATTAGCAAATAGAATTTAGCAATATATAAATAGAATTATACATGATGTCTAAGTAATGTGTTATACAGGAATGCAAGGCTGGTTCAACATTCAAAAATCAATTAATGTAATCCAATAATAGGCTAAAGAATAAAAATCATATGTTCTTATCAGTTGATGCAGAAAAAATTTGATAAAATTCAACACTAATCATGACAAAAACTCTCAAAAACTAGATATAGAAAAGAATTAACTTCCTAAACTTGATAAAAGCAACTACAAAAAAACTATTGGTAACACTATATATAATGAAGAAAGGCTGAATGCTTTCCCCTAAGATTGGTAAGGATATCTGTTCCCACCACTGTAATTCAATGTAGCATTGGAAATTCTAAACAATTCAATAAGCTAGAAAAGGAAATAAACAGCATACAGATTGGAAAGGAAATGATAAAACGATTCTTATTTGCAATGACATGATGATCTACACAGAAATACCAAGGAATCTACAAAACTCTCCTCGAACTAAAAAGCAAGTTCAGCAAGGTAACAGGATACAACATTAATGTACAAAAATCCATTGAATTTCTATATACTGGCAATGAACATGGAAGCTAAAATGAAAAACACACTGCCATTTATAACCACTAAAAATGAAATACATAGATACATAAATATAAATAAAATTGGTTTATAGATATGTATAAAAATATATAGATATAAATCTAATAAAACAGGTATAGGACTTGTATGTTGAAAACCCCACAATGCTGATGAAAGATATCAAAGATCTAAAAAAGAGAAATACTGTGATGATGGATGAAAGGCTCAACATAATAAAGAAGTCAATTCTCACTAAGTTGATATACAGGTTTAATGTAATCCTTATAAAAATTCCAGCGAGATTCTTGCAGATATAGACAAGATTATTTTTAAATATAAATGGAAAGGCAAAGGATAGAACAGCTAAACAACTGTGAAAAAGAAAAATAAAGTGGGAGGAATCACACTCCCTGACTGCAAGACTTGTAATATAGCTATAATAACCAAGACTGTGTGCTATCTATGCAGCGAGAGACACAGAGATCAATGGAACAGAATAAAGAACTGAGAAATATCCAACAAGTATGAACGACTGATTTCTCACAATTGTGCAAAAGCAATTCAATGGAATAAAATAGTCTTTTCGACATAGTGCTAGGGCAATTCGATATCCATAGGCAAAAATAAAAACAAAACAAGAAAACACTCTGAACTTAAACTTCATACTTGATACAAAAATTAACTCAAAATGGATCACAGATTTCAATGTAAAATGTAAAACTATAAAAGCCATTAGGGAAGTGCAAATTAAGACAATAAGCTATCACTCCACATCTATTTGATCAGTTGAAATAAAAAAGTGACAATATTAAATGCTGACAAGGAAGCTCTCATACATTGCTGTTGGAAACCTAAAATGGTACAGCCACCCTGGAAAACAGCCTGGATGTTTCCTACAAAACTAGACATACACTTGCTGTGCCACTTAGCAACTGTACTCCTGGGCAAAGAAATGAAACCTTAAATCCAAGCAAAAACCTGTACACAATTGTTTATGCATACTTTATTTCTAATATTCAAAAACTGAAAATAACTAAAATGTCCTACAAAAAGTAAATGGCTAACAAACTCAGGTACATACATAACCACAGAATACTGCTCAGCAGTACAAATGAACAGACTATTAAAACAGCAACTTGAATCAATCTCAGTGGCATTATCCTATGTGAAAAAAAAACCAGTCTCAGAAGGTCACATATGTAAGATTTCATTCATGTAACATTCTCAAAATCACATAATTATAGACATGATGAATAGATTAGTGGTTGCTGGGGGTTAGCTATGGTGGAAGCAGAGGGGTGGGTGTGACTATACACAGCAGCATGAGAAAGATCTTTGTAATGGAATAGTTCTGTTTCTTGACTGCAGTGAAGTTATGTGACTACACATGTGACAAGATGGCACAGAACTATATATACACATGGTGCCAACATAAATTTCCTAGTTTTGATATTGTATTACAGTCATATAAGTTCTAACTGTTGGGGAAAATGGATGAAGGATATAGGAGACCACACTGTACCATCTTTGCAAATTCCTGTAAATCTAAAATTATTTCAAAGTTTTTTTTTTTTTTAAAGCTGGAAAATTGTCACATAACATTGCAAGGAAAATTTGTATTTTCTCCCTTGTTTTTTTCCTTTATCATGTCTCTCCCTGCCACCCCGCCCCCCCAATTTGCACCACCAGCTCAAATTTCTCTAATTTCCTAGCTATTAGATAGAAGTACTTAAATTCATGTAGCTCAGTTTCTCCACAGGGGTCCTGTGACATTTGAGAAAGAGCAATGTGTTGTTGTGTAGGACTTCTTGTATAACTGGTTCCAGTCGCATATCATCAAGCAGTGTCTCCCGCCATCAGGGCAACCCAAAGTGGTTCACATATTCCCTTGGACGACCTTACTTCCCGAGCTGAGAACCAATGACGTTCCTAACTCATAAGAGAATATTGGAAAGTTAGAAATTTTTATCAGGAGAGCCCTAGATTCTAATAAAGTTCCACAGACAGAATATCTGTAACAGAAATAGCAACTCAAGTTCTAATATTTAGTTTAGCTAAATTTATGCTAGATTTTTTTTTATTATAGTCTAGTTATTCATTTAGAAGCAATGATGACAATCAAGGATGTTATAAAAGCTGATTACCACTAAACACTAGATATCCATGATGAAAAGTTCATGGAAGTTCAGAGATAATTTTATTTTTTGTACCATATTGTCTTTTTGACCTTGTATTCAGCCAGAAAAACTACACAGAAAGGTAAATGACTTATTTTCTTCAACTCAATGGGATATTAATTTGAAGCCCAATCGTGATCACTTATCTGACAACCCACTTTACTATTGTGCTTGGTTATATTGGACAATCACCTAATCTTACAGGTAATACCAAGGGTGGCTGGGCATTCACGTAAGTCTTGAAGTTTGGGAAACTGAAGAAATTTGGAGGACTACAATAGAAATAAAGCTGAAAGCTCTGAATTTGGAGAACCTCCTGAAATCAAATCGAGTGACTTAGATTGGTTTATAAATGAATGAACTCTATGGTGCTTGAACCTCAGTTCATTAAAGTGAAGAGGATCCAGCTTACTTATGTTGGAAAGTACAGCCCTGTTAAGAAAGGAAGCCAGCAGAAAAAGAAAATATGAACATTCTCTCCTTAAGGGAAGCATGGACCTAAATAATCTCCTCAAACTTCTGGCACATCAATTTTATTATATTATTGATGGGTCCTGAATTTGAATGTTCTTTTGTTCCAAATCACAAGGAAACAAATGTTCACTGGGGGTCAATTTCTACCAAGTCGCTTGCTCAGAAGAAACACTCGGCAGCAGGAGGTTCTATTCACAAAGCCCAGTTCTCAGTTGCTTTCTTTTACCCAAATTGGCACATTATTACTAATTGCCACTAATTGTTGAATCCAATAAACATTACACTCACATCTATAGTACCTTCTAAAAACATTGATTTTTTTCTAAGCTCCAATAACGAAAGAAATTATACTTTTATTGTTTATCTTGTTATTGTCAATGGATTTATCCCCAAAGTTATAAAAGCCGTTTGTACCCCTCCTTTCCACCTTGGTGGCTCACCCTTGTGGTGAAAACATTAGAATAAAACTACAGCATGCCTGTGGCCGACAAAGGTGAGAGTGGTTCTGCAAAACGCTAACAAATCTGATTACTAGCCCGTACTAAGGTACACTTCAAAGTTCATTCTAGAAGTTAATGCTAATGCTGTGCGAATGGCATTGAAAAGTAGATTTTAAAAACTTAGGAATATATTGTGGGTTTTGTGAATTTAGTGACAATCTGCAGTCAAATTAATAAAAGACACAAATAAT